TTTTTTTTTTTTTTTTTTCCCCCCAGTCCTGGGAATTGAACTCGGGGGGCAAGCTACAACTGAACTATACCCCACCCCTTTTTATTTTTTTGAGACAAGGTACTGCCAAGTTGCTGCTGACTTCCAATTTGCAGTCCTCCTGCCCCACTCTCCCATAAAATATATAAATTCTACTTTAATCAAGAAAAAAAAAAAGGTCTGGGGTTGTGGCTCAGGTAGAGCGCTTGCCTAGCATGCATAAGGAACCGGTTTCAATCCTCAGTACCACATAAAAATTAAAATAAAGATATTGTGTCCACCTAAAACTAAAAAATAAAAATTTTTTAAAAACCCAGGACTTTTATGAATGATTAAATAAAAGATGTTGGTAGTGAATATATTTATCATTTTACCAAGTAGTTTTTGTTACACCCTCAATGAGATTTTGTCAGTATTTGGCATGAAATCAGTTGCCTTATTTTATAATTGATATTAAATCAGTCTTCTCCTTTTGTACTTCTTGCTCAAGTTTTTGGGAACGAGGCATGCTGGGGTAGGGTGAAAACGACAACTTTTGAAAAACGTTGAATACACCTTTCTCTTTGTGGGAATGTTCATTCTTTTTTTTTTTTTAATATTTAGTTTTCGGTGGACACAACATCTTTATTTTATTTTTATGTGGTGCTGAGGATCGAACCCAGCACCCTGCACATGCCAGGCCAGCGTGCTACCGCTTGAGCCACATTCTCAGCCCCTGGGAATGTTCATTCTTCTGAAGATTAATTGACCTGATAGTGTGATATGCCAAAGTTGTTTATAAAGATGCAAACTTCATCAGATTTTTAACTGATGTGAAAGTCATACACACATACACACATTAAACCAATTCACTATAGGATAGAGAAATTGGTGAGTTTAAACCTAAGATTTTTTTTTAACATAATCTGCCCCTGAGAGAGTCTAAATCAGTCTTAAACTTGAAGTTATCTGGATTAATAATTAAGATTTATATTTTCTAATTTTTTATTTAAATGGAAGTAGGGAAAGAAGTTTCTGCCTAGTTCTCTTTTCCCAAATTCAACTAGAGAACAAGGAAATTTCTTTCCACCTAGGTTCACTCTTTGCTTACGCACTGCCACACAACCTTGGACTAGTATCTGTATTCCAGAATTGTAAGGTTTTTCTTTCTTGTCCTCTCAGTCATTAATATACTGTGCTTACTTATTTAACTATAATTTATCCCTTGACTATAATTCTGATTGTTTTTTTTTCCTTCTACCTATTATTTAGAACAAACTTTTCCCACAAGCTATTTCTTATTTAGAGAAGACTTTTCAGGTTCGTAGACCTGCTGGCACTATCTTACTTAGCAGGTAGGTAACATTAAACACTGGTTGTTTTCTTCATTCATTTAGTACTCTGCACTCCTCATTCTACCAGCATGGCAATGTATAAGATTTATACTAGAATATTTTATTATATTGTTCTTACAGACCAAACTGCAACATATATAAAAAGAATGAAAAAGCCCCTGCTGGATAATTATTCTTTCCCTAATTTTCCATAATGATAGTCTACAGAATCTTCTCCAAGGGTGGTATGGTCCTCTGTTCCCCAAACCCCCTTCATCTCTCCTTCACATGGCCACAGTATTAAATTCATGAAAGTATTTAGGTACTTGAAAACCTAGATCAGGGGGATTCCCCACAGAACTAGAATTCCTTATTAGCCTATTTTTGTAACTTAAACAGTAACCTAATAAGGTTACTAGTGAAGTAACATAGCACTTACTAGTTTATTGCATTGTTTTTAACTGCTGTGAACTATTCTTTCTTACTTTTATTATTATTTATTTTTTTTTTTTGTATTTAAACTTTCATATATAAATGTACCAAAGACAATGTGCAACAAACCAATACCTACGGAAAGAAAATGATCCTCATAGATACTGTACTGGTGAATGTGCACCACATACAAAGTGTGGACCAGTTATTGTGCCTGAGGAACATCTCCAGGTAATTCACCCTGCTTTTAGCAATGTTTTTTCTCTGTAGTCTAACCATGGGAGCACATTTGAATCTTTTCAGTGGGAAATTTTTATAGATTCAAATATAGAGCTTTAGTAAGTTTATTTTTCTACCAAAAGTATAATAGTTAGATATGCTGATTCTGTTTTTTCATTGCTTTTCAAGTGCATTTAATGACATTTACTTTCATTTGTTTTCTTCCCCATTTGTCTCTGAAGTGCTGAATCAGTTTAGCTTAGAACTTTATCCTTATTTTCCAGAACACCTTTGAGCACTTATATACTTACCTCAGTTTTTTTTTATTGTACTGAACATTGAACCCAAGGGTGCTCAACCACTAGCCAGTTGCTTATTGCCTTGCTAAGTTGCTGAGGCTGGCTTTGAATTCACAATCCTCCTGCCTCAGCCTCCTCAGCCACTGGGATTACAGGTGTGTGCCCCCGCGTCTGGCTTACCTTAGTTTTTTTAAAAGGGCAATTTGATATCCCTTAAGATGTGCTTCAACCCAACTTACACATTTATTCCAAAAGTACTAATAACTATGTGGGCACAATGGCACATACCTGTAGTCCCAGCTGAGGCAGGAGGATTGCTTGAGATTATGAATTTGAGACCAGCTGGAGCAACACAGTGAGACACTGTCTCAAGGGGAAAAAAAAAAAAAAAAAGTATTAACTATCTTCTGTGTGTTCAAGGGTGTTCTTTGTAAAACTATATACATATGTAGGCTATTAAATTATGTTATAACCATATAATGGAATACTATGCAGTTGTTTTAGAACAAAGTAGATCTCAATGTACTAACTTGAAAAGATATTTAAGCTCTTAAATGAAAAAAAATTATCAATGTGTTTTATTGAAAAGTACAGATATACATAAGTTAAAAATTATGAAATAGTCTAGAGGAATGTGTATGTTAAAAAATCTGTACAAAAATCAAAATGTTAGTGGTTTCCTTTAAGAACTAATGGTAACTACACAGCTTTAGTAACAAAAACTACATGGTACAGCATAAAAACAGACATGAAGACCAGTAGAAGAGAGCAGAAGACACACAGGCAACCCACACAGAAGCAGCCACAGTCATCTCATCTTTGACAAAGATGCCAAAAACATAAGGTAAAGAAAAGATAGCCTTTTTAAACAAATTGTGCCAGGAGAACTGAGTAGCCATTTATAGAATGAAATTAGACCCCTATCTCTTACCCTGCTCAAAATGGATGAAAGACCTAGGAATTAGACCAGATAACTTAGAAAAACAGGGTCAACACTCCAACAAATAGGCTCAAGCACTGATTTTCTTAATAAGATTTCTGAAGCACAAGAATTTAAACAAAAAGGCCGGGTGCAGAGGCACATGCCTATGTAGTCCCAGCGGCTTGGTAGGCTGAGACAGGAGAATTGCAAGTTCAAAGGCAGCCTCAGCAACAGGCAAGGCACTAAGCAACTCAGTGAGACCTTGTCTCTAAATAAAAAAATACAAAATAGACCTGGACATGTGGCTCAGTAGTCAAGTGCCCCTGAGTTCAATCCCTGGTATAAAAAAATACAAAAAGAATTAAAACAAAGAATAAGTGGAATGGCATCAAATTTAAGTTTCTGCACATCAAAGGAAACAATTAAGAGCCTACAGAATGGGAGTTTGCTAGTTACTCTCTGAGCAGAGGATATCCCAGAGTATATGAAGAATTCAAAAAACTTAAAATACCAAGAGCACAAATAACTTAGTCAATAAGTGGGCAAAAGAACAAAACAGACATTCTCAAAAGAAGTAAGCCAGGGACTGGGGTTGTGGCTCAGTGGTAGAGCGCTTGCCTGGCATGTGTGAGGCCCTGGGTTCGATCCTTAGCACCACATATAAATAAAGAAATAAAGTAAAAAATGGCAACTAAAAAAAATATATTAAAAAAAAAAGAAGTAAGCCAAATGGCCAAAATATATGAAAAATGTTTGACATTTTTAGCATTCAGGGAAATAAAAATCAAAACTACACTGAAATTTCATCCCATCCCAATTAGAATGGCAACCCTCAAGAATGTAAATAACAAAAAACACTGGAGAGGATGTGGGAAGAAAGGAACACATAAATTGTTGGTGAGACGGTAAATTAGTATGACCATTGTGGAAATCAGTAGAGCAATTTCTCAGGAGACTAGGTAAGGAACCAATATATGACCCAGCTATTCAAGACTTATCCAAAATAACTGGAATCAGTATACCATAACAATACATAATGTGTATAGCAGTGTAATTCACAAGAGCCTAGTTAGGGAACTAGCATAGATGTCATCAACACATGAACAGTTAAAGAAAATGTATCTATTCACAATGGAGTTCTATTCAGCCTTAAAAAAGAATAAAATTGTGTCTTTTGGTGATAAATCAATAGATCTGGAGAATATCACACTAAATAAATTTGTATAAGCCAGACTCAGAAAGCCAAGAGTCAAATGTTTTATAAGCTGAAGCTACAGAGAAATAAAGGGAATCTCGTGAAAATAGAAGGGATATCAGTAGTGTAGAGCTAGGGGATCTGAGGGGAAGGGAAAAGAGGAAGAACTGGCAAATTAGGCTATATGCATGTATGAATATGTCACAGTAAATCCCATTTTATGTATAATTGTAATACACCAATGAAAAAAGTATGTGTATTTGTTTATATTGTAAATAAATAGAAGGTAGACCATATATTTTAGATTAGATTCCTTTGGAATTTTTTCTTAAGGTATTTGAAGCGAAGTGAAGGCACCTGTACAATTGTACAGGTTGGCATCTACAATTTGCTTACTCAGTTTTACTTAACTGTTTCAAATTTCTTGAGTGCACAAGGAGCTTTAGGGACATGTTTAAAATTTTAAACAGATTGTCGATTGTATCCCTATCTCTTTTGCCAAGGCATTTCCTAGATATTTTAAGACTGATTTCATTATCTTTTTTTTCTAAGAGTTTGTTCATTGCTTTTAATTTTCTTGGTTCTTCCAAGTTCTACTTCCTACTTCTTGAAAGTTCTGATTTTGTTTAATTAAGTAGATATTCATGAGAAAGAAGCTTAAAAATGTAAACTTTTTGTAATACCAGCTACTAATAGGTTAAAATAATTGAATTTTAAAATTATAAAGATATGTTATTGAAGCAAGGGTAAATAACATATACTTTCTATTAAGTGAAATGGGAGTGCCTGGGTCTTTTGTTTTTGTTTTTTCTTCTTTCTGTAAGCATAGCTTAACCTAAAAAAATTACTGATTTTTTTCTAATTGTAATTTGAAGAGTCAAAGTAAGATTTGCCTAGAAAATACTAGAAACAAGTCTCTTACTACTGAGAGGGGTGAAAAAAGAAAACTAGAAACAAGGGTAATAATCATGGATGACTTTAATATTTTCTTTATATGGTTTTATATTATCAAATTTTTTAAATAAGATACATGGATTTCTTTACAATAGGAAATATATTTCCATTAACTAAAAAGTTTTTTATTAATTAATTTTGAAATAACTATAGCCTCAAAGAAAGTTGTAAAAATTGTGTATAGGACATTGTTCAGTGGTAGAGCATTTAGCATGATGAGACTCTGGGTTCAATCCCAATCACCCCCTCCCCCTCCAAAAAAAGTATATGGAAGTTTCATCACTAAGTTTTAGGGTTTTGAAACCTTTTTAATTTCTATCTTTTCTGCATATTAGTTTTTTGGCCTTTATAAAATAAATCATACCATATTTAGATATATACTGGATTCACTCTTAAGTTTGTCTCTTTAGCTAACCATGTCTCTGGTCTGATTTTTCTGTTCACCCCTACTGGTGCAGCAATGTAGGGTTTGCCGAGGGGGTAAGTGGCCCTGTGGAGCAGTGGGTATGCTGGATCAAGAGGGTGTCCGAGATGCAGACTTTGTCCTTTATGTTGGTGCTCTGGCCACTGAGAGATGCCGCCATGAAAACATTATCTCTTATGCAGCCTATTGTCAGCAGGAAGCAAAAATGGACAGGTAAAGGTTTCTTTGAGATTTATTTTATAAGATCTAATCAGGGAACTCTTAAACCATATTTTTATTGTTACCATTACAGGAATTTTACATTTGACAATTGCTTCTAGTAGTAAGAAATAACATGCTGCCTGAGTTTAAAGGGTGCCCCCTCTTCCTCTGTGGTAGGACTGTTATTCATATTGGTAATAGAAGTTTTCTGGTCAGAATGAAGAATAGTGAAAAACTCATTTGACTTTTTCTTCTCCACTCCTCTTTCATTCTGATCCTATCTTTTTTACCCATAAACTCCAAAGAAAAAGTGTACTGTTAAGAGAATTTTCTTTCCAGGTGAATACTTCTGTAAAGAAACAACTCAGATGTTAATTGAGAATAATTTAATTGTCGTATCATTTGTTACATATGCTGCACTTAGCCAAATAATCACTTAACAATTCAGAAACTTCTTTGTTTTTCACAAATGATTTTAAAAAAGTGTTCATGGTGAAGCAGCCTAGCCTTGAAATGAAAAGTTAGTATACATACAGAAGATTGCCTGTCATACACCAAGCAAATCAGTTAAAAAAAGCAGTAGAAACTGGACTGGATTTGTGGCTCAGTGGTAGAGCTCTTGCCTAGCAAGCATGAGTCACTGGGTTTGATCCTTAGCACCACATAAAAAAAAAAAAAAAAAAAGATAAAAAAAGGTATTGTGTCCATCTACAACTAAAAACATTAAAAAAAAAAAAGCAGTAGAAACTGATGCATGTCTCAGAATTGACTATATAGACATTCTCAAATTTAAGAGAGGGTAATGTGTCTAATTCATGTGCATGTAAGGACCATTGCTGCGGTGCAAAACATCCATTTATTGACTCCAACATAAAGAGCCATTTTTTTTCTATTGGTGTAATTTACTTGAAGATAAATTAGAAAACTTAGTTGAATCATGTAAACAATACGAAGAAAATGCTGGTATATGCTTCAGAATTGTAGTGTCAATCTTTTTGATTTTTTTGGCACTGGGGATTAAACCCAGAGGTATTTTACCACTTACCACATCCCCTGTTAATTTTCTATTTTGAGACAGGGTCTTGCTAAGTTGCTTAGAGCCTTGCTAAGTTGCCCAGTCTGGTTTTGAACTTGCCATCCTCTTGTCTCAGTCTCCAAAGTTACTAAGATTATAGATGTGTGCTGCTGTGCCCGGTTTGTATTGTCAATCTTAAAGGTACTTAAGGAAGTAAAAGTAAATGCATTATGAAAAGCAGTCTCTTAGTGTGATAAGATGTAATTGTTAACTGGTGAAATCAACTTAAATCTTTAGACTGAATGTTGAGAAAGCTAAGTATCAACTATTGAGTATGTTGCTGTAGAAGAAAGTACTGTTTTTGCAGATTATGTATATGCTAGTATTCTTTTTTCCTTGAGGAGATGCCTTTAAATTTATAATTTATAATTATGAATGATGTCTTAATAGCAATGAAATTTGCTAGTTAAAGTATTAAATGAATAAGTTACTTGATAAAATGAGATATTTAAGAAAAGTGGATATCTTTGAGAAGTATACTTTCCCAAAAGGAGTGCTGCAAAATCATGTTTTTATTTTTACTTTAACTAAGCTATTCGTATCAAATGCACACAAAATCTTATTTTGAACTTATTAGAAAGGGTCAAAATAAGATTGCAAAGGAGAGTACCTAATATGAGTCCATATTTGTTTAATAAAAATCTATGTATGTATTTGAATGTGCTAAGAAAAAAGTCAGAAATAGGATTACTAGTCATCCCAGTTTGTCTAGGACTGCCCTGGTAGTATCATTTGTTAACACTGAAAGTCTCACATTCCAGGAACCCCTCAGTCCTGGGCAAACCAGGATGACTAGTTACCGTAAAATGGATACACATAATATTGTTGATGGAATTTAGTAAGTGTAGGGTATAAAACAGGTAATATTCACTTTTTTCTTTGTACATTCCAATATTATGTTACGTTATAATATATACCTTTTGACAATGAGTTTTTATTACTTTTCTAAAAGACCCATTAAAATGAACCTTATGTATTAGAATAAGAAAGACATCCCTGGAGAAGTGAGAAGAAAGATATGAAATCCTGGATTGAGTCTAAATTAGTTAATCTCAGTTCAGCATCTCATAATGTGGAAAGTACCAAAAGTGTCTAGTTGTCTTCTGGTGAGAGAACCCAGCATAGGAGTCACACAAAGGAGAATCCCCTTAAGTGAGAAGTGTGTTTCATTGTCATTGTTATGTTTATTTATAGTTATATTTATTTACAGCACTTAATGTTTGGTTTGTTTGGTATGAATGAGTAGCTAAAAGAATAAATGTTCTTTGTACCATGACTATGAAACTACTCACATCTAGGGAAAGATTTTGTTTTTTTCTGAGAATAGTATTGATGTTTATAGAATGAGCAGTACAATGTCTCCAGTATTTCTTTTTTGAATCTTTTTGAAGGAATCTTCCTTCAAAACTGGTGTATTTCATGAATTCATTCCATTATTATTTGAATGTCTAATATATTGCCAGCAGACGAGGTGAACAAAATACACATGTGCACCCACCTCATGGAATTTACAGATTTCAGAAGAAGACAGGTATTGGTTTAAATTTTAATTGTAGATATGTGATTTAAAATATTATACTTTATAGAAAAATACTTTGTACAGGATGTTGTAAAGGGGAGTAAAAGGAGAAGATACATTTCATTCAGTTAAGCAAGGAAAGCCTCTTTGAATAAGTGAAATTTTAGCTTTGACCTGAGCATTGATAGGCTTTATCCAAGTAAAGAGGTTGGAGAAAAAAACTTATGTTAGGAAAAAGCATGTATACATTTTGCTGTCAGAGGTCACTTCAGTGGACACTGTGTTAGAAGAGGCAGACAGAACTATTACTTATTTTAAGTGCTGTGAGAGGTCCGTGAAGTAGCCACATGTGATGGCTCACTCCTGTAATCCCAGTGACTTGGGAGGCTGAGGCAGGAGAATTGCAAGCTTGAGGCCAGTCTCAGCAACTTAATGAGACCCTGTCTTAAAAAAAAAACAGGGCTGAGGATGTGGCTCAGTGGTAGAGCATCCCTAGGTGCAATCCTAGAGTGCAAAAAGCAAAAATAAAAAGGAAGTCCCTGAAGGCTTTTAAGCCTAGCAATGACATATTTTATATTTTAGAAGTCACCGTGCAATGTTTTGATAACTAATTTATCTTCGTACTTTTTCTAAGTCTGTTGCTATCAAGTATAAAGAAATGTACTGAATTTTTATTTAAATGAAGTGTATCTTCTTTATAAATAAGGAAATATAGTTGGTGAGGTTTGTAGTATTTCTGTGGTAAATGTTAGGGAAAAAAAATGTAGAACAATCTTCATGTTCCTTAGCATTGTCGGTTTACCACAGCTTTTGAAAGACAAGTAGGTACATGGTAGAAGTGATTTAATCACCCTGGGTCCTAGTATGGTACTGAATTCTCCAGTTCTAGGCACACAGAGAGATGTAGAATTCTGTAGATTCTACAGTGTGTACAACTTGAAAGAAGATGATGGGAAGGTAAAAGTATGTATGTGAATGTAGGCATTTTGGCAGCAGAAGAAAAGGAAAGATGGAAATTAAGAAAGGTTGAGTAATTTTCAGCAACCTGAATGGTTTATTGCCCCATTATATATCTGTTTTCCCTGTCTACTTAGTTGTCTCTATGCCTGAAAATATAGGGAATGCTAAAAATCAAATACTGGTTTTACAATAAAATAGTACTAGAATGTACGTTTTTTAGTTTATTCCTTTTTTGGTATTACATATTTTAATTTACACTAATATATAATTAACTGACCATATATCCTTTTATGGAAATAGATTTTCCTTTGTCATGCCATAGGAAAGCAAAGGGTACATGTCTTGAGAGTAAAAGATAGTGAAAGTTAGCCACAAAATTACATTGAAGGGCTGGGGTTGTAGCTCAGTGATAGAGCACTTACTTACACGTGTGAGGCACTGGTTTGATCCACAACACCATAAAAAATAAATAAATAAAATAAATATATTGTGTCCATCTAGGGGCTGGGGATATAGCTCAGTTGGTAGAATACTTGCATCACTTGCACAAGGCCCTAGGTTCAATCCCCAGCATCAAAACAAACAAACAAACAAAAAAAAGATATTGTATCCATCTATAACTAAAAATTTTTTTAAAAGATTTCAAAAAATTATATTGAATATTAAATAAAGGTTTTTCTGTCCTTGAGCAGTTTTTCATAGAGAATCATAGATTAGTAAATATAGTAATAAATATTGTTCTGGAATATAATAAAAATTCAATGTCTATTTTAACAGGCCAATAGCAGGATATGCTAACCTGTGTCCAAATATGATCTCTACCCAGCCTCAGGAGTTTATTGGGATGCTGTCCACAGTGAAACATGAGATTATTCATGCCCTGGTAAAGCTGTTACCTACTCTTCTTTCCTTCATGCTTTAATTTTCTGCTTATTGTGTTCTTATTTTGTTGCATATTTTAAAATTTAAGATTATGTGAATTCTTACATTTTTGTTCAGTAAAACCTGATTAATTAGGTCTCTGCTAATAAAGAATTTTTAATGATAGGATAATAAGTAGGTTGAATTTTTCTATCTAATATAATTAGATATTTGATCTATTCAGTAAATAGGACTTGGGGAGAATGATTAAGCTTCTTCTGAAAAGAATTTAGTAACTTAGAAAAATTACTTTCCTCTAGAATATTTGATATGCTGATACAGCTCTTAGGAAAGCTAATTTGTAAAAGCCCTCTTGGTCTAACATGGGCTTTTTTTCCTCTTTTTTATTTTGTGTATGTATGCATGTGTCTGATACTAAGAATTGAACCCAGGGGTACTCTATCAATGAGCTATATCCCCAGCCCTTTCTATTTTTTTTGTTTTGAGACAGGTTATTATTACCAAGTTGATGAGGCTGACATCAAACTTGTGATCTTCTTTTCTTAGCCTCCTGAGTTGCTGGGATTACAGGTGTATGCCATCACTCTGGGCCATTTGGGCTTTCTAAATATATATGTACTAACTGATTCAGAATTTCTGTATTCCTTTTCCCCAATTTGTCCAAAATATTAAATTTTACCATATGCCTATGGGATTTAAAGAAATTGCCTAAAACCCTAGGAAAAGTTCTCTGATACTATTTAAGTATGTTTAGGAAATGGAGGGGAACAAAATATACTTGTTAAGAGAGAAAGGGTCACACAGACATAGGTCTGAATTTTCTTAGCTGTATGATTAAAAAATTTTGGGGTTTGGTGCAAATTGGTTAGCCTTTGGTAGCCTCAGTTTCATTTATAAAATGAGGAAAATAATAGTACACACTACAATGAATTTTATTTCTTGAAAGTTAAACAAGATAGTACGTATAACTGGTGTAGCACCATCCTATATGTAGTAAGCTATAATAAAATTAGTGGCTATTATTTTTCTTATTTAGTGAGCTATCATGTATGACCTTGAAATATAAGTTTGTCTTTCAATTATCAAACATACTGATTGACAAAGTGAAACTCTAATGTAACTAGATTATAGTCATGTTCTTCACATAAGGAGATACTAAAATGAAATGTTTGTTTGGGCATGGTGGCACATATCTGTAATCTCAACTACTTGGGAAGCTGAGGCAGGGAGATCACAAGTTCAAGGCCAGCCTGGGCTACTTAGTGAGACCCTGTCACAAAAAAAAAGTCTGGGTATGTAGCTCAGTGGAAAAGCACTGCTAGTTTCAGTCCCCAGTACCAAAAATAAAAAAGGGCTGGAATGTTCAAAAAAGTATAGCCTTTGTCTATCATATGCGAGGCCCTAGGTTTGATCCTTAGACCAAAAAAAAAAAAAAAAGAAGAAGAAGAATGGAGCAAGAGGGGGAAGAGGAAGAAGAAACATGTAGAGATAAAAGAATAATCTGGACTCCATTACTCATTCTGGCAAACTTTGAATGACACAGAATCCACAATTATATCAGCAAAGAAGGTTGCCAAAGAAGTTAAGTAGGTGATCACTTACAATTGATAGCTATTAGGTTATGAACTAGATTATATTTTCTATTTATAAAACATGAAAGTAGCTTTGTTTTAGTTATTAGATTAGGAAAGAAAGCAAGAAAAAGAATCTCACTAATGAAATAGAAGATACCAAATGGCATTAATTTTTCCCCTTTTCTCACCTTGTTGATGGAAGAGGGGATGGAGAATGGGAATTTGAATATTTTATATTAGGTATTGATTATCTCATTAAGATTGAAGACTTTTTGTTGTTGGATATTGCTTGTGATATTGGGGATTGAACCTAGGGGTGCTCTATCTCTCAGCATTCTGCCCAGGCTTTTTTTTTGTGTGTGTGGTGCTGGAAATTGAACCTAGGGCCTTGTGCATATGAGGCAGGCAATCTACCAACAGAACTATATCCCCAGCCCCATCCCACCCCCTTTTTTTTTTTGAGTCAGGGTCTGGCTAGGTTGCCCAGGCTGGCCTTAGCCTTCCAAGACCCTGGGATTATAGGCATGTGCCATGATTCCTGGCCAGTTTAAGACTCTTTTTTCTCCCCCCTTTTGGTACCAGGGATTGAACCCAGGACGCTTAATCCCTGAGCCACATCCTCAGCCATTTTTATGTTTTATTTTGAGAAAAGGGTCTCACTAGGTGCTTAGCGCCTTGTTAAATTGCAGAGGCTGGATTTGAATTTGCCTTCCTTCTGCCTTAGCCTCCTGAGCTGCAGGAATTACAGGCATGCAACATCACACCTGGCAGAATGACTTTTTCATAGAAGGTTTTCCTCTTAAAATCCTGAAATTTATAGGTCTAATACCCAGTATTACAAAAATCCTGAGATTTATGAATAAAAGATACTAAAAAGTCCATGAGAGTATATTGCTGTGACAGAGCCTTAGGCTGCTGGTACTTCTGATAGCCATGAAAATCCTTTAGTCTAGGTGCAGTGGTACATGCCTATAATCCCAGCAGCTCAGGAGGCTGAGGCAGGAGGATTCTGAGTTCAAAACTAACCTTAGCAACTTAGCGAGGTACTAAGCAACTCAGTAAGACCCTCTAGATAAAATATTTAGAAAGGGGTTGGGATGTGGCTCTGTGGTTAAACACCCCTGGGTTCAATCACTGGTACCAAAAAAAAAAAAGAAAGAAAGAAAATCCTTTTAAAAAAATAGCAATGACTACTACCTTCTCAAAACTAGAGAAGAGCATATGTTTAACTAAGTAATGATTTCTTTCTCTGCATATTTGATCATATAGAAATGTACATTTTCATAGTAATTTTTAATTAAATTCATCTATTTTATTTTAACCAGTGTCAGGCTTGACCATACAATTCAGTGTACTGCTTTCATCATTTCATCTCTTGCCCAGCATTCAGAAATGATAGATGATAGGTTCTCAAACAAGGAAGAAGGCCAAAATAACTTTAAAAAGCAGACAAACAGCCAGGCATGATGGTGCACACCTGTGATCCTCGTGTTTCAGGAGGCTGAAACAGGAGGATCACAAGTTCAAAGCCTGTCTCAGCAACAGCGAAGTACTAAGCAACTCAGTGAGACCCTGTCTCTAAATAAAATACAAAAATGGACTTGGGATGTGACTCAGTGGTTAAGTACCCCTGAGTTCAATCCCCAGTCCCGGTACCAAAAAAAAAAAAAAACCAGAGGAATTAAAGAACACAGAAAATGCTCTTTGGTTTGTGATTTAAAAGTGCTAATAGTGCCTAGATGAATTATAGCACAGTAATTGCTATTCATTGTATTTATACTGAAAGTAATTTTAAAATATATAACACATTTTGGAAAAACTTTTATTAAATATTTACTTTAAATAGTTAGAATTTAGAATTCATAAACATGGCCCACTTAATCATAGTTTAGTTGCAGCCTATGAGAAGTTCCTGCATTGGCCTGATGCTGTTATGTATTTATATCAGTGCTTTCTTTTGATAGCAGACATGTTATGATATCTGTAATCAGACTTGATATTTTCATGGTAAGACATTTCAAACTTTTTCTTATAGGGTTTCTCTGCTGGGCTCTTTGCATTCTACCATGATAAAGATGGAAATCCTCTAACTTCAAGGTTTGCAGATGGTCTCCCGCCTTTTAATTACAGGTATTTACTATTTTTATTTTCTTCTTTTAGAGGATGCTAAGACAAAAATCAGAATCATAGTATGTTGTTAGGTGTTAAATAACAGTGTCTTTATGGATAATCTAAGGAAACTAACTGTACATAGTAAAACAAGATAGGATCATTTAGCCTCATGACCTATTCAAAGAGCCAGGACTCTTTTACCAGGCTAGGCTCTTTTCACAATATTGTGCCTTATAGTACAGTCAGGCTGTGGTAAAATGTGGGTTGATTATATTTTGCCTTTTTAACAATTATTGCCTGTGCATGGCAATATTTACATGTTAATTGATATTTTATTTAGTTTAGCAGATTAGCGGTGATCCAGAGGTTCAGGGCCTAAAATATGCTGTAGTTAGAAAACTGAAAAGGTTTATCAAGGATTTTATAGTGGGATTGGAGGTTTAGATCAGGGATATAACATTTGCCTAGTATGTTCAAGGCTTTGGGTTTGATTTTAGCACTGGGGGGAAAAAAAAAGAATTTTATAGATAATATCAGTTTTAGAACTATAACTGTTTGCATGCATTTATATAAAAAATAAGTCTCTAAATTAAAAGCACATATCTATAAAAACACTTGTACAAAATATTCATCATGATTTTGTTATTAATAGTCAAACCATATAAATCACCAAAAATATAAAAGCTGCATCAGTAATAGAATAGGTAAATAAATTGTGATATATTCATATAACTAAAAACTACATAGCACTAAGAAAGAAAACACTATTGGCTGGGATTAGCTCAAAGGTAAAGTGGGTACATGTGGGGCTCTGGGGTCAATCCCCAGCACCAGAAAAAAAAAGAATATACTTATGCTATATGCAGTAATGTGGAGGAATGTCGCGTTCCTCGAAACTAAAACACTCAGGGTCACTCCAGGTAAACTGGGCTGCATGAAATAACCACCCAGAGACAGACAAATACCTTTTTCTTTGGGGTCCTGTGATTGCTCCTCTGACCTTAAGGGCTCACAAAAAGACATACAAGCAAATACTCTACAACTGAGCTACTCCCCAGCCCCATATTAGATTTTTGAAGATGTGGCCAAGTTCATGATGGATGATAGCATGAATGCTTGCTACCATCATTACCAGTATTGAATATTATAGGTCATATTTTAGGTTTATCTGTTGAATAAAGATGTTATGTCATTATTATATTCAGGACTACTAGTTTTATTTTCTTTGTCCAATCTTTTGGGTTAGTTTTCTTTTTCTAATTACTTTGTATTAATATCTAGAGATATTAATCCTTTTTCATGTTGCAAATATTTCTTCTATCTACTTTTGTGTCTTTTTACTTCATTTGTCATGCATGCATACATACATGCAAGTGAGTAACATCTCTTTTAACTACAAAATAGTGCTTACAAGCTCATAGGGTTGTTCAAAAGATTAAATTTGAAAATTCCTTTCATGGATATGGGATAGTGTAAGTTCTCAAATATTTTAATTTCATATTGATACTCATGAATACTTTTATTTTTAAAGTAATAGTACGTTTGCAGAATGACCGTCTTTCTATTCTATAATTACAGTCTTGGATTATATCAGTGGAGTGATAAAGTAGTTCGAAAAGTAGAAAGATCATGGAACATACGAGATAATAAGATAGTTCGTCACACTGTGTATCTGCTAGTAACACCTCGTGTTGTTGTGAGTATTATTGAACTTCTTTATTTCTCTCATGAACCATCTTCCTTCATTATAATACTTGTTTTATTAATCACTATTGTTTAAGAACTTATAATTAAATTTCAGAGCCTAAAGTAGAATCAGTAGTATAAAGGCAGTGCAGTAAAGTTATAAGCCAGGAGAAAGATGAGGAAGTAGAAATTTGACATTGACATTCATGATTCCTATCATATACACTGCTTTAAGGAAGTGCTGCCTCTGTAATGATACCTTTTAGGATCATTGTACTATTTCTGTAATTGTTTATCATTTCATTTGAGGGTTTGTATTAGTCAAGGGTCTGCAGAGAAAGAGAGACAAACAGAGTGTGAGGGAAAGAGAGATTCTTTTAAGGAATTGTCTCACACAACTGTAGAAGTTTGGAAGATCCGAATCTGATGAGGTAGGCAAGCAGACTGGAGACTCGGGGAAGAGTTACAGTTTGACTCTAAAGACAGAATTATTTCTTGCTTGCAGGTCAGTCTTTGTTCTGTTTAAGCTTTCAATGGGTGCTTGAGCCCACCCATATTTTATGGAGGACAGTCTGCTTTTAGCTTAGGGTCCACTGATGTAAATATTAATCTTGGGCTGCGGTTATAGGTCAGTAGTAGAGCACTTGCCTCACACATGTGAGGTACTGGGTTTGATCCTTAGCACTACATAAAAATAAATAAATAAAGATATTGTGTCCATCTATAACTAAAAAAAAAAAAAATAGGAATATTAATCTCATCCAATAAAACACCTTACAGTAGTATCTAGAATAGTGTTTGACTAAATATCTGGGCACTGTGTCCCAACCAAGTCGACAAATTAAATTAACCATCACAGGATTCCCCATTTTTTTGATGACATAAAGCTATTCTGCCTCCACTTTTCTTTTACACTCACATCTCTCTGCCTTCTAAACTCTTTCAGTGTTCTTGGGCTATTTTCCATCCCTAGAAATCTCTAACTCAAAAACAGACAAAATCCAATAAGTAAATTTGTTTTCTACTCAATAACATTTTTTTTTGCTGAGTGTGACACATACCTGCAATCCCAGTGATTATGAAGAATCATAAGTTCAAGTCCAGCTTGGGCAACTTAGCAAGATACTGTCTTAAAATAAAAAATAAAAAGTGCTGTGAATGATGATGATGATAATAATAGCCTGAATAGCTTTTTTCCCCTACAAAATATACTTCCATAACAATTTATACCAGTAATAAAATTATTCTTGAGAGAGCAAGGGTAGCTATACTTAAACCAAATAGACTTTAAGTAAAAAAAGGGTATAGGAAGACAAATAGGTATATTATATAATGACAAAGGGGGTCACTTCATCAAGAGGATATGACAGTTTTAAATCTATAAGTACCTAACTTCAAAGCACCTGATCGTGTAAAACAAATATTACTCTTTCTGAAGGGAGAGATAAATTGTAATACAATAATAATACGAAGCTTTAATACTGCACTTTGAACAATGGACTAATCACCCAGACAGAAAATTAATAAGGAAACATTGGACTTGAACAGCACATTAGGCCAAATGGTACTAAGAGATATACAGAACATTCCATTCAACAGCAATAGAATATACATTCCTCTCAAGGGTATTCTCCAGAATAGATCACACGTTAGGGCACAGAAAAAGCCTTAGAAAGTTTAAGAAAAGTCAGTCATATCAAGTACCTTTCTAACCACAAAGATGTGAAATAGAAATTAATAACAGCAGGAATTTTGGAAATTTAAAAATACTTGTTGGAACAATATATTCCTGAACTACCAACATGCGTTGATAAGGAAATAAAGGGGAAATTAAAAACATCTCAAGATATTGAAATATCTTTAAATAAATGAAAATGAACATAGAAAATACTATAATTTACAGGATATAACAAAAGTGGTTCTAAGAGGAAAGTTTATAGCAAAAAAACAAGTACATCTAAAAAGAAGAAAGAAGCTGAGCATGGTGGCACTCGCCTGTAATCCCAGTGGCTCAGGATACTGAAGCAGAAGGATCAAGAGTTCATAGCCAGCCAGCCTTAGCAACTTAGTGAAGCCCTAGTTAACTCAGTGAGATCATTTGTCTAAATAAAATATTTTTTAAAAGGGCTAGGGCTGTGGCTTAGTGGTTAAGCACCCCTGTTACCAAAAAAAAAAAAAAAAGAAGAAGAAGAAGAAGAATTAAAATAAACAACTTTGCATTATTCCTCTAAGAACTAAAAAAAGATGAACAAATTAGACCAAAGTGAGCAGAAGGAAGGAAACAATAAAGAAGAGAGTAAAAATATGTGAAGTAGACACTAGTAGACACAAAAGATCAATGAAGGGACTGGGGTTGTGGCTCAGTGGTAGAGTGCTCGCCTAGCACATGTAAGGCCCTGGGTTCGATCTTCAGCACCACATAAAAGTAAATTAATAAAAAATAGGTGTTGTGTCGAACTACAATAAAAAATAAATTTTTTAAAATCAGTGAAACTTAAAATTATTTTTTTGAAAAGATAAAATTGACAAAACATTAGCTAGAAAAAGGAAAGAAAGGAAGAAAACTGAAATAAAGTAAAAATGAAAGAGGAGACATTACATCTCATCACAGAAATACAAAGGATCATAAGAGACTACTGTGAACAGGTATATGCCAATAAATTTTTTTGGGGGGAATACCAGGGGATTGAACCCAGGGGGGCTTAACTACTGAGCTACATCCCCAGTCCTTGTTATTTTTTCTTTTGAGATGGTCTAAGTTGCTTAGGGCCTTGCTAAGTTGCTGAGGCTGACTGAACTTGCCTTCCTCTTGCCTCAGCCTCCTGAGTTGCTGAGATTACAGGTTGCCGCAGTCTGGCTGGGCACAATTCAGGAGCCACTTGTCAAAAGAAACGAACTTTATTTTTAGAACACACACACACACACACACACACACACACACACACACACGGCACCACACAGCTCTTCAGGAATTCCCCCAGAGCCCAGCTGCCACCACTGGCTTCCCACAAGCCTCTCAACCTCCCCCATTCCTCCTGCTCTTGAGGCCGATTGGCTGGGTTGCATGGGTGGAGCCAAAAAAAAGTCCCCCAATGAGCAGCTCTGTGGTCTGAAAGGGCGGGGAAACAGCCTAATGAGCATCACCACAGAGGAACCAATCAGTTGGCAGCTAGAAGTTTGCCGGGGCCGCTATGAGCCAATCATCAGCTGGCAGCTGGAAGTTTGCTAGCAGCTGGAAGTTTGCTGGGGCCCCTTTGGCTGTGGCTCTCAACATCTCCCCCTCTCTGTTTAAACAACAAGCATGTGGCTTAGGGACCATGCCTGCCTTAGGTTGTCCAATACTACATATAGTCCTTACCCGTCATTGGATGAGCTGACCTCAAGGCGTCAGCCTCCTGTATTAGGTTGGTACCATTGCAATTGGATCTTACCCGTCATTGACTACCGGTCCAGCATACAGCCACACCTGTGGATAGGTCTTTGTACCAGCGGGGGGTGAGGTTCTTTGCCTCACCTCTGTTGGCCCCCAAATTTTAGTTGAACGACCATCACAAGGAGAAGGGAGGAAGATACACCAAGTCAATTGACGGTTCCTTTTGGAAAAATTGTACCACTGATGACACCATCAGCAAAAATACCCCAACATTACCACAAGTCGCTGCAGGGCACATACAGGGCACATAAAGGATTGCCTGGAGCCCTTAGTTTGGGCAATGATTTAGCAGATAAAACTACACATGACATACATATTTTCTCTACACTAGAAGAAGCTACAAATTTTCATAAAAAGTTCCATGTCAATGCTAATACTTTACAAAAGCGTTTTAAAATAACTAAGGAACAAGCTAGACAAATAAAACAATGTCAAAATTGTGTGACCTTTTTACCACAAGTTAATCTTGGAGTCAATCCTAGAGAACTGATACCTAACCATATTTGGCAGATGGACGTCACACACTGCCAGAATTTGGAAAATTAAAATATTTGCATGTTACAGTTGATACTTCTTCCGGATTTTTGATGGGCTCCCTTTATGCCGGAGAAAAAACTAAAGATATTATAGCTCATTGTTTACAAAATTTTGCCACTGTGGGCGTTCCAAAACAGTTAAAAACAGATAATGCCCCTGGTTATACTTCTACCTCTTTTAAACAATTTTGCTCATCATTTGGCATTACTCATATAACAGGAATCCCATATAATCCACAGGGACAAGGCATAGTTGAAAGAGCTTGGTGCTGATAACGCCAAGGTCGCGGGTTCGTTCCCCGTACAGGCCACCAAATGCCGCAGTCTGGCTGGGCACAATTCAGGAGCCACTTGTCAAAAGAAACGAACTTTATTTTTAGCGCGCGCACACACACACACACACACACACACACACACACACACGGCACCACACAGCTCTTCAGGAATTCCCTCAGAGCCCAACTGCCACCACTGGCTTCCCACAAGCCTCTCAATCTCCCCCACTTCTCCTGCTCTTGAGGCCGATTGGCTGGGTTGCATGGGCGGAGCCAAAAATAGTCCCCCAATGAGCAGCTCCGTGGTCTGAAAGGGCGGGGAAACAGCCCAATGAGCATCACCACAGAGGAGCCAATCAGTTGGCAGCTAGAAGTTTGCTGGGGCCGCTGTGAGCCAATCATCAGCTGGCAGCTGGAAGTTTGCTGGGGCCCCTTTGGCTGTGGCTCTCAACAACAGGTGATGTCACTGCACTCAGTTGTGCCAACAAATTTGATAACCTAAAAGAAATAGATAAATTCCTATAGTTAATATTGCTAAAATATCCATGCTACCCCAAACAGTTGCAAATTCAGTGCAACCCTGATCAAAATTCCAATGTCTTTTTTGACAGAAATAGAAAAAAAAAATCCTAAAATTCATATGGAACCACAAAATAACTCCTAATTGCCAAGGCAATCATTTGTAAAAAGAACAAAGCTGGTGGCATCACACTACCTGATTTCATAGTACAGGAGTCCCCACTTTGGCTGAGGTCTTACTTTTTATCCCCAGTCTTAAGTCCAAATATATTAAATGGAAAATTCTAGAAGTAAATAATTTATAAGTTCTAACTTGTAATATAGTATATTGTTATAATTGTTCTATTTTATTATTACTTATTAATCTCTTCCTTTTCCTAATTTATAAATTAAACTGTATCACAGTTTAATATGTATATATAGGAAAAAACATAGTATAGGTCCAGTACTATCTGGATTTCAGGCATCTACTAGGGGTCTTGGAATGTATCCCTTACAGATAAGGGAGAACTACTGTAGTAATTCAAACAACCTGTACTGGAATAAAAATAGAAACACTAGGCAGTGGAGCAGAATAGAGAGCCTAGAAATGAACCCAGGCATATATGGTCAGTTGATATTTTACAAAAGTGCCAAGAATGCCCAATGGGAAAAAGGTAATCTCTTCAATAAATGGGGAAACTAGATATCCATATACGGAAGAATAGATTTGGACCTTTATCTGATACTTTATGCAAAAACAACTCAAAATATATTAAACTCCTAGAATAAAACAGTGGGAAAATTACACAACATTGGTTTGGGAAATAACCTCAGAAGCACAAACAACAAAAACAAAAATAGACAAATGGAATTATATCAAACTAAAAAGCTTCTGGCTTTCCTCTTTTGGACTGCACAGAATAAGCTCTTGGGTCTCTGAGACCCAAAAATTGAGAGGTTCTTTGCACCCAGGAGGCTGTGGCCTTTGACTCTATAAAATGAATATATTAAATTACAATATAAATGCCACAGATATTGCTTGTATTACCATGAGAAAAATAGAAAGAAGGAAACTCTAGAGTCTCATGAATGTTCGAGAGGTGGGTGGGGGTGTTGGGGGTGGGGGATTGGCCTGAAGACTAAAGTCTACCATAAATAGCACTATGCTGAGAAAATACAAATGAAAACAACTATCAAGATGCATGAAAAGAGAAACGCCAAACAAAAGAATGATGACAAGACTCCACAGGGAGCAGTACCTTCTTATCTACTGGACAGAGAAGGACAGTCCCAAGCAAAAGTACTTTCCAGCATGGTTATGCAAAACAGAAAAGAGACATCAGGAAACTAGTAAGTCCCTCTGCCCAAAGTTCATGCCCAGGGAGAAACAGAAGTATTAAAAGTTGTTTAAATAGTAAAGAGAAAAAAGAAGGTATAGAGGAGGATGGCTGCTAGAGTCTGCTTTGTTGGATATGACTTTATGAGAAAACCACCTAAATTTAAAAGATTCATTAGAACAAGGGGCTTACATTTCAAGAAGACCCATGAAACACATCCTGAATAGAAAGCCATCTATTGCCTATCAGTACTTGATGTGAAAAAGTATCCTTCATAGCCACTATGTTCAACTTCAAATGTTATTACCAAAGATACTGCCATTGAGATAAACATGAGTCATTTGGGCCTTGTGATACAAAGAAGCAAGGTTATTTGGTGGAAATTATGCCCAAGTTATCAACAATCCTTGAAAGTGATGGACTTAAATGTAGACTCACTGGTTTGACAGCAGTTTTATACACATAACTCCTTGTTTTAATTATTGAAGACTATGATCAGGGAAACCACCATTACTATGATGTTTCTGAATGCTACCAAGTAGTCTTATATCTCTGTAATCAAGAGAACTATTTGTTAAATTGTAGAAAACATTAAAATGTTGAAAAAACATCTGTACACCAAAGGAAACAGTCAACAGTGGATTGGGAGGGAAAAAAATGTAGGATCAACACTTCAGCTTTTAGGCATAGGCAATGACTTTCTCAATGAGACTCCTAATAAATAATGCCCAGCGTTAATAAATAGAATGGCATAAAATTAAAAAGCTTTGCCCAGCAATGTGAAAAGAGAACCTACAGAATGGTATAAAATCTTTGTTAGCTACTCTTCTGGTAGAGGATTAATATCTAAAATATATAAAGAACTCAAAAACTTTACACCAGGGGCTGGAGTTGTGGCTCAGTGGTAGAGCCTAGCAGTGTGAGGCCCTGGGTTCGACCCTCATTACCACATATAAATAAAGATATTAAAAAAAAACTTTCCACCAAAAAAATCAAATAACTCAATTAATAAATGGGCAGATGAATTAAACACACACTTCTCAAAAGAAGAAATGCAAATGGCCAAAAAATACATGAAAAAATGTTCAACATCATTAGCAGTTAGGGAAATGCAAATCAAAACTACACTGAGATTTCATCTGACATCAATCAGAATGGCAGCCATCAAGAATACAAGTATACTAATAAATGCTGGAGAGGATTTGGAGAAAAAGAAACCAGTATGTACAACTAGTATGGAGGTTCGTCAAAAGACTAGGCATGGACCACCACCATATGATCCACCTATATTTATCCTGAATAATTAAAGTCATCATACTACAGTGATACATGCATACCCATGTTTACAGCAGCACAATTCACAATAGCCAAACTATGGAACCAGCCTAGGAGTCCATCAGTAGATGAATGAATAAAGAAAATGTAGTAGATATACACAACGGAGTTTTATTCAGCCATAAAGAAAAATGAAATTAAGTCATTATGTTAAATGAAATAACCAAACTCAGAAGGTCAAGGGTCATATATTTTTCTCTCATATGTGGAAGCTAGAGAGGAAAAAGGGAAAGAAAGGTGGGGGCTAGGGATCTCATGAAAATCAAAAGATGATCTTTAAAGGAAAGGGACCAGAGGGTGGGAGGCAAGGAGGGTGTGGGGAAGTGCTGGGGAATGATACTGGCCATATTACATTGTTATATAATGTAACATGTACAGCTATGTAACAACAAATTCCATCATTATGTACCACTGTAATCCACCAATAAAAAGGCAGAAAAAAGGTATTGTAATAGAATACAACTAATATAAAAAAAATTTAAAGAATAAAAGTCATCATAGTATACTGATACATGCATACCTATGTTTTAGCAGCACAATTCACAATAGCCAAGCTATAAACCAGTTTAGGTGTCCATCAGCAGGTGAATAATGGATAAAAAAATAATGTAATATATGTACACAATTGAGTTTATTTAATCATAAAAGAAATAAAATTATGTCATTTTCAGGAAACTGGATAGAACTAGAGACCGTTAAGCAAAATAAGTCAAACTCAGAAGTTTAAATGTTGTATGATTTCTCTTCCAAGTGGAAGCTGGAGCGGAAAAAGAAAAAGAAAGCAGGGGTGGGGACATCTCATGAAAATCAAAAAGAGATCAGTAGAACAGAGAAAAGAGATCAGGGAATGGGGAAGGGGAGGAAGGGAGGATGTGCTGAAGAGCAATATTGGCCAAATTATATTGTTATATATTGTATTCATGTATGAATATGTAACAGCAAATCCCATCATATGTACAACTATAACACAGCCATACAAAAATGTAAAAAGAAATATATATATATGTATATATATATATATATGTATATATATGTATATACATATATATATATATATATTAATTTCCTAGCAAAGAAGAATGTAGCACCATCAAAATTTAATTATATTAAAAACTATATTAAAAAAAAATTCTCTCTTCTTACCAAAGTAATTTTTTAATATCTGTTGTATTCATGGAATAAAGAGTTTGACATTATCTAAAAGTACTTTTGTGGGATTTTTATTTTTCTGATTCTTAGGATGAAGCACGAAAACATTTTAATTGTCCAATTCTAGAAGGAATGGAACTTGAAAATCAAGGTGGTATGGGCACTGAACTCAACCATTGGGAAAAACGGTTATTAGAGGTCAGTTTATTTTTAAGTTTTACTAGACTTTTTTTTTTTTTTTAAGTAATTCATACTCATGGAAAAAGATATTTAAACAGGTTCCTCTTTAGCTCTTAAAATCCAAATTAATTTAAATCTTAAATTCCAAATGTAATTGCTAAGCTTGTCTTATATCCTTCCTTAAATATTGTCTAAATTTATGTATATACACATACACACAGAAGTTTTTCTTTTTTTTTCCAATTATCTCTCTATTTATTTATTTTGCATTATGATTCTTAATACACCTTTATACCACAATTTATCATATCTCTAATTGTATATAAGGTATGTTGACACCAAATTCACATCTTCATACATGTATTTTGTATAATGAAGAAGTTTTTCTTTATGAACTCATACAACTTTTTTAACTTAATGATATTCTGTAGACATCTTACTAAGGCAATACAAATGCTTCTGCTATAATGCAACATATACTTTCACCTTTTTATACTGAGCTCAGTGGCACATGCCAGTAATGCCAGTGACTTGGGAGGCAGAGACAAGAAGATCACAAGTTCAAGGCCAGCCTCAGCAATTTAGCAAGACCCCATCTCAAAATAAAAAAGGACTGGGAATGTAGTTTAGTGGTAAAGTGTCCCTAGGTTCAATCCCCAATACTAAAAAATAAAAAAAGAGTTTATTCTTCAATATGATACCCTAAAAATAACTAAACTTGTGGGAAAAACAAGTATCCAGAACACTAACAAAAACATAAATCATAATTACTAGCTCAATTTTAAAAGACATTAAATTTCCAATAAATACAGTCTTTTGTCTACTCTAGTATTTCTTTACTTTGAACAACAACAGACCTATAATCACAGCTACTTGGATTTCAAAGGAGGATTTGCAAGTTCCAGACCAGCATGGGCAACTTGGAGACCCTATCTCAAAAATTTAAAGTAAATAAACAAAAGGGCTAGAATGTAGCTCAGTGATAGAGTACCCCTGGGTTCAATTTCCAGTACTGCAAAACAAAAACAAAAATATCCACAACAACTACAAAACAACAACAACAACATAAAAATCTAGTAATGGGTAGCTGGGTGGGGGATTGTAAATCTTGAGTAAGAGGGACAAGAGTAAAATGTACCAAAATTAGAATGTGCAATAAACACTTGCAGCCATACTGAGCCAAGGGGAAAAAGATGAAGTGAACAGAATAGAGACCATACTCAGTATAGCATCCCTCTATTCTTTTATTTTTTTTTTCTTTATCTTAGTGTATTTTTTATTTAGCTGCTATTGCTTCATCGTACATTAGCCTCCAGGGAAAAGTCACAGTGAATTAGCAGGATTATATTGATGTCACTCCCTTATTTTCCATCTCACATGAGTTCATTCACAGTGCTGAAATACATGCATTAGCAAAATAGACTGTGTGCTTTGATTTCCTCAGTTTTGTCATTGTTGTTGTTTTTTATGGTATTGAATCCAGAGGCTTCAATAAAGATGCTTCAAAAATGAGGCTGAACTCCTCATTTTTTAAGAGCTGCAGAATATTATATTATACAAATGTAACCTAACAGTCATGTGTTAATGAACAATTATGTTTCAAATTTTTAATTTAAAAAATTATAATGAGCCATTTATTTATTTATTGCTCATTTACTGCTGTGCTTTCCAGGATTGGTGTTTCAGTGGATATTCTTTGGTTCAGCTAAATAATCAAACTCACAAGACTCCAACAGGCCACACTAAAGAAAGATTTCCTTAGAAAGGGTATCACAAAGCACGCACAACATGCAGTGTTGGGCACATTCCTTGTGCTGAAACAGCAATCTAGGGGCTGTCATTGGTGCCTCTCTTCCTCCCTCTCCAACTCAAGGACAGCAGTACAAGGCCAAAGTAGATGGATGCAAGAACCAGCCTGGCTTTTAAAGTACCATGTCCCAAATAGGACATGATCTTTTTAACAGTTTCATAGAAATAATTTTCAGATCCCTATAAAACATTTCTCAACACAGAGAAGTCCCAGAACTATGGCTTACCAACAGGTATTCATGTTCATTTATAGTAATCCAAGCCCAGAAGTATTTCAGGAGGTTTTATTCCCTTAAGTACTAATGCCTGGGAACACAGTTGACATTCCATCTTTATTAGGTTTCCAGGGGAACAGAACTAGAAAGTTAACCCAAGGTCACATTTGTTTATAGAGTAAGAAAGAATAAATTCCTATAAGTGGAATTTCTGAGTCAGAAGATATTAGAGATAAAGAGTTGAAGAAAAATTAGAGCTGTCCAAAGAAGAAATATGCTCTCTTAAGAGGCAGTAGAGTCCTTATTGTAGAGGACCTCCTGAAAGGAATTTTATCATATAAATTAAAATTGGGTAGATAGTATACCTTGAGAATATTTTAGATCCCTCGTATAGATTATTTGATCTCATGATTCTATCATATGTGTTTTGCATGTTAGTGTATCTGTGATCACAAAAGATTAGGAAACTATTTTCTATGTAATTCAGGTGGTTATTTCCCTAATTCTAAATTACCTGGGCATTGTCTCACTTTACTTTGCCTGGAGAATCTTTACAGTAGTATTTCTGATTCCACATATATTTATCTTCATTTTCATCATAATATCTTAAATGTTGGGCTGGGGATGTGGCTTAAGCGGTAGCGCGCTCGCCTGGCATGTGTGCGGCCCGGGTTCGATCCTCAGCACCACATACAAACAAAGATGTTGTGTCCGCCGAAAACTAGAAAATAAATATTGAAAAATTCTCTCTCTCTCTCTTCTCCCTCTCTCTCTCACACTCTCTCTTTAAAAAAAAAAAAAAAAAAAAATAAAAATTTATATATATATATAACTAAAATGTTAGTTCCCGCCATTCCAGGGAAAGTATAAACATGGAGACATTTGAAGCAAAAAATAGATTTGACTTTAAATTTCAGTCTAGTCATTTTAAAGATGGCTTTTGTATTTCACTACTTTTAAGTGAATATTTATCAGTCCCTGACTGGAAACATTTTAAATATATATCAGAGAAATCACAGAAATTATTAGGAATTGTAGAGTCATTTTCTAACTAAAGTTTGTTGGTGATTTTCAGAATGAAGCAATGACTGGTTCTCATACCCAGAACCGAGTCCTCTCTCGAATCACTCTGGCATTAATGGAGGACACTGGGTAAGACAGCTGTGAGAATACATGATTTATGTATTAAAATTAAATGAATATTAAGATTAGCTTAAGAAAATGCTGACATTTTACATCAAAGCAAAACTACTTACTGCATTATTGGATTTTGTGCATTTAGCTGTCCATTATCACCAAATCTGTTTATTCATTTAATAATTGTTTAAGGCCCCAAGATACAGTTATGAATAGAGCAAAACCATGATGTTAATGAGATTTATTTTCTTGTAAGGAAAAGCTTGCTAATATGAAGGAAAAACTAAATAATTTTTTAAATTGTGAATAAGATTGATGTATAGTTTCCTGGTTTTTAAAGTAGTGGAACTTTCTGGTAAAGCAGTGAACTGTTATTAAATGAAACCTTTTACAGAATCTTTATGTATCAAATAAAATCAGAACTGCTTAGGTGGAAACAGTGCTTCTTTCTCTAAGATAGCCTGAGGGAACATTTGAAAATGAAATCAAATTTGAAAATCAATAGTATAGGTATTATTAAAACCATGAAAATAGTTGATTTAACTTAACTTTGGGGGGGGTGATCAAAGAGAAATAAGGATTTTAAAATACAGAGCTCATTGTTGACCCTGAAAATAGTTTCAATAAAAATGGAAGAGACTGAGAAGTTCATAGGCTGATCTGCTTACATGAGAGAGGAATACATAGGTAAGAAAGGATTTTATTAGCACATCTTTTCCCTTGAGAATGCAAGATGGATAGGATCCAGAAAAACAAGAGAGAATTAAGTTAAATGAGAATTAGCTTCCTGTCTATTAATTCAGGAAAAAGGAATGGGTATAAGAATGCAGCAAGTCATGGAACTGGGGATATAGCTCAGGGGTAGAACACTTGTCTGGTATGTGTTATCTACTTTCTTAATTCTCCTTTAGCCCATTTGAAGAACAATAAGGAAAAAAAATATAGCATTCTTATGCCTAACAAAAATATCAAGATATTGTTATATCTTTAGAAGATAGCAGATAGCACCCTGAAAAGTCATTAGCATGCAGTGCTTTAAGGTTAAAGATTATTTTCTATGAAGTGATAACAAATTTTTGATGTCTATATAGACTTCATCTCAGGGATATTATTCTTTTAAATATTTTATTATGAAATTTACCAACACATAAAAAAATGCATGTATTAAACAGTCTATATAATACAATGAATACTGTAGGCCTATGAACTGGATTCAACAGTAAATAAGATGTTATACTTGTAACGGTCTTTCTTTTTACCTTGCAAGTCACAGACATCACATCATTTTACTCCTAAATATTGCACCATGAGTCCCTAAAATATATGGATGTTTTTTAATGTAACCACACTTAGCAGTAACAAAATTAATAATTTCCTAATATCCTCTAATATCCAGTTTATAAGCACATAAACCTTTTATCTCTCTTTTTAAATCGGGGTGCAAATAAAATATCTCTTAAGTCCTTTAACGTACAGCAGTCCTGTACACCTCTGCCACCTCCCCCACCCCCCATTGCAGTTAATTTATTGTGGACCCAGAATTCTGGATTCACTTGTCTATTCCTTTGTTATACAATATCCTGAATGTCTTTTAAATAGAAGTTATCTCTGTTATGGGTTAAATGTGAGGTATTCCCCAAAAGTTTATGTGTGAGACAATGCATGAAGGTTTAGAGGTGAAATGACTGGGTTATAAAGGCCTTAAACCAGTCAGTGAATTCATCCCAGGACAGGGATTAACTGGGTAGTAACTGTGGGCAGATAGGGTGTGGCTGGTGGAGGTGGGTCCACAGGGCATGCCTTTGGGGTTTGTCCTTGTTGAGCAGAGCTCTCTCTCTGCTTCTTGGTAGCCATGTCCTGACTTTTCCTCTGCCACACACTTCCACCATAATGTCCTGCTTCACCTTGAGCCCCAAGGAATGTCACAGATTCAAGGCCAGAACAGCAAGAAACTAGAGCCAACTGAATTAGATTAGGTAAAAGGTACCCAAGTAGTAATTCCACTATTTCTTTCTTTTCAGCTTCTCTTTTTCTCTCATTCTGGTTCCTTGTCCTTATTTTCCTTGTCTCACAATATAACCACTTTGTGTTACTCTGTGACTTCCATCATTTTTGAAAATTACAATGGAAATATATTTTGTTTTGTTTTCCAAATATGAAAGTAGTTTGGCATAGAACTGATTACCCAACCCCTGCCCCAGTGATCCTGTACACCAGACCTTTGGCAGCAAGCACTTTGTAAATGTTCATTTGTAGTGATGGCCTCCCAAGTCCTTTTTAAGCTCCTAATTTGCTCATTTGTTGAGATTTGTAATTGGTATGCTAGAGTTGTTTTTTAAGTGGAGGTAATCTATAATCATTATTGGGGATAGCAGGTATAGATTGGTGATAGAGCACTTGTTTGGCCCTGAGTTTGATTCTGAACACTGCAAAGGAGAAAAAAGTGAATTTAAATAATGGTAATACTAAAAGGTGCTTTGTTTGAATTATTTCCACAGCTGGTATAAAGCAAATTACAGCATGGCTGAGAAGTTAGACTGGGGCCGAGGAATGGGCTGTGACTTTGTCAGGAAGAGCTGTAAGTTCTGGATTGATCAGCAGAGACAAAAGTAAGAATGTGTTTCTTTGTGTATCTTTGATTATACAATTAATTTCTGATTTTGTTCTTTATCCTGAGCATAAAATGTCAACTATTTTCAAAAGTGGTCTGAGCAGTTCAGTTTCAAATCCTTCTACAGGTACTTCACAATAATATCCTAAAAAGTAAGTGAAGAATAATTGTTTTTTGTGGTGCTGGGGATGGAACCCAGGGCCTTGTGCGTACAAGGCAAGTACTCTGTGAACTGAGGTATATCCTAAAATCATTATTTTTAATCATATATTAAAATAATCTGGGGCTGCAGTTGTGGCTCAGTGGTAGAGTGCTTGCCTAGCATGTGTGAGGCACTGGGTTCAATCCTCGGCACCACATAAAAATAAATAAATATAAAAAAAATTGTGTCCATCTACAACCAAATAATAATAATAATAATCCATAGCATCAGGGCTGGGGTTTGTGGCTCAGTGGTAGAGTGCTCGCCTAGCACACATGAGGCACTGGATTCGATCCTCAGCACCACATAAAAATTAAATAAAGATATTGTGTCCACCTACAACTAAAAAATAAATATTAAACTAAAATAATAATCCATAGCAAGGTGGTCAGAGCTATGAATATTTCTGTTTGGCTTATAATTTATAATTTTTGCATATTCTTGTCATTTTTTATTGTTTTCCTCAGTTTGCATATGTAAACATAGATGCAAATATCCATTCAGTATTAAAAAACCAGGCATAAAGAAGAATGAAATTATGGCATTTGCCAGTAAATGGATGGAAATGGAGACTGTCAAGCTAAGTGAAACAAGCGTATCCGCAAAAAACAAAGACCAAAGGATCTCTCATTAATATGCAGATCCTGACTCACAATAGGCAGGGGAGAGGGAGGAGTAGAGGTTCACCAGATTGGACATGGGGGAATGGGGAGAAGTGTGGGGGATGGGAATGGGAAAGACAGTAAATGAATTGGACATAACTTTCTTGTGTTCAAATATGATTACATGACCAGTGTAACTCCACATCATGTACAACCACAACAATGGGAAGTTATATTTTGTGTATGCATGATATGTCAAAATACATTCTACTGTTATGTATAACTAAAAAGAACAAATTAAAAAAAACAAACAGGGGCTGAGGATGTGGCTCAAGTGGTAGCGCGCTCGCCTAGCATGCGTGAGGCACTGGGTTCGATTCTCAGCACCATATAAAAATAAAATATTGTGTCCACCTAAACTAAAAAATAAATATTTTTTAAAAAATCAGGCTGGGGCGATAGCTCAGTCATTGGTAGAGCACTTGCCTAGCATATACAAGACTCTAGATTCCATTCCCATCATTGCAGGAAAGAAAAAAATACTTTTGAAAGAGGGTTTTTCATCTGGATACATATCATAATCACATCAAGATTTTTAAAGTTACAAAGTATCCAAGTTTGGGATAGATATACACAACACACACACACACATACTTAAAGAGTACATAGAATCTCTGTTTTTTACAACAATGATCTCAAAATTAAAAATTAAATATAAATAAATTTAAGCAAATATAAAAATTACATGTATTCTTCATCCATTTTTTTCTTCTTGCAAAATCATTGTAAAATATCACAACTAGGATATTGACATTGGTATAGATTCAGAACATTTCTATAATAAGGATGCCTCATGTTGCCATTTCCCTCCTAACTTCATAACTCCTAGAAACCACTACTTATTCTTCATTTCTATAATTTTGTCAATTCAAAAATGTTATATTAGAATGTTGTATAAATTTTTAAATGTGATAAGTACTATGTGCAAACTTTTGGCATTCTCTAGAGATTGATCCAGGTTGTTTTGTATATGTCAATAGTTTGATATTTTTATTGCTGAGTGATATTCCACATTATGGCTCTTCCACAATTTGTTTAAACACTCACATTTTGAAGGACATCTGGGTTGTTTCCAGTTTAGGGCTATTATGAATAAAGTCACATTTGTATACAGGTTTTCTTATGAACACAAATCTTCATTTCTTCAAAATAAATGCCTAGGGGGTGGGGATGTAGCTCAGTGGTAAAGCACTTGCCTAGCATGCATGAGCCCCTGAGTTCAATCCCCAGCACTGCAAAAAAATAAAATTAAATTAATAAAAATAAATGCCTAGGATTACAATTGCTGGTCCATATGGTGGTTGCAGGTTTACTTTTTCCAAGAAACTATCAAACTCTTTTCCAAAATTGCTATATCATTTTACATTTCTGCCAGCAAAATGTAAGATATAGTTTTTCTACATCTTTGTCAGCATTTGGTGTTGTCATTGTTTTTTATTTTAGTTATTCTCATAGGAACATAATGATATTTTACAGTGATTTTAATTTGTATTTTTCTAATGGCTAATGATGTTGAACATCTTTTCATGTGCTTATTTTCTCTCTGTATATCTTCTTCAGTGAATTGTCTTTTCATTCTTAAGCCAGTTCTCCAATTGGATTTTTTTTTTTACTGTTAAGTTTTGAGAATTCTTTGTATAATCTAGATGCTAATGTTTGTCATATATGTGGTTTGCAAATATTTTATTTTTTTTAATTTGTTTTTTTTAAATTTTTTAATAGTTGTAGATAGACACAATACCTTTTATTTTATTTATTTATCTTTTTATGTGGTGCTAAGGATCAAACCCAGAGCTTCACATGTGCTAGGCAAGCACTCTACCAGTGAGCCATAACCTCAGCCCTCTTTCTCCTAGTCTGTAGCTTGCCTTTTTATTCTCTTGACAGGGAATTTTTAAAAAATTTATTTATTAGTTCAAATCAGTTATATGTGGCAGTAGAAAACTCTTCGATTCATTGTATACAAATGGAGCAGAATTTTTCACTTCTCTGGTTGTTCATGAAGTAGGGTCACACCATTCATGCAATTATACATGTACCTAGGGTAATGATGTCTGTCCTATCATTTCTGAGAGTTTTTAATCATGAATGGATGATGACTTTTGTCATAATGCTTTTCCTGCATTAGTTGATATAATTGTGCTTTTGTTGTGATTGTTTTTAGCCTATTAATATGGTAGATTACATTGATTGATTTTTTTTTTTAATATTAAACTTATATCCCTGGAATAAACCATTTTGATCATAGTATATAATGATTTCTATATCATTTAATTCTGTGTGCCAGTATTTTGTTATGGATTTTTATGTCTGTCTTCATAAAGAATGTTGACTCAAAGTTTTCTCAGGTTTTTACCAGTTATTTCTTTTTCAACTAATATATATGGCCCTCTGAACAATTGTAATATGTCAGTTAAATTTTATATTATTCAAAGATGATGTGTTATCACTAAATAAGCAAATAATGGATTATTTTTTGTCACACTTAAATATTGGCTTGATTTTAAAGTATAATTTACATAATACTATGCAGAAATAAATCCTACTATAGAATGAGGTATTTATTTATCCCATTCTTTATTTTCATTTTGTTGAAAGTGTTTTTAAGTTTTTCTTGAGATTTCTTCTTTAACCTACTTGTTATTTAGAAGTCATTTGTCTATAATCTCCAAGTACTAGGGGATTTTCAAGCTATCTTTATCTAGTTTCCAGTTTAATTCCATTATCATCTGAAAAGAAAAGACATTGTATGATTTCTTTTAAATTTTGTTGATTTATATTTTGTTGTCCAGAATGTGCTCTAGTTGTGGTTAATGTTCTGTGTAATCTTGTTAAGAATATGTAATCTGCTGTTGTTGGATGAAATAGTGTGTATATTTCAGTTATATCCAGGTAATCAGTGATGCTGTTAAGGTCAACTGCATCCTGATTTTATGTTCTCTGAATCTATTTCTGATAGAAAGGTATTGAAGTCTCCAGCTATAATAGTGGATTCATCTGTGTCTTCTTGTAGGTCTTTCAGGTTTTGCCTCACATAGTTTGACACTGTTTTGTTAGGCACATACACATTTGTGATTTTTATGTTTTTTTGGAGTAGTGACCCTTTTATCATCTTGTAATGCCTTTCTTAATCCTTGATAATTTCCCTTACTCTAAAGAGTAATTTTTTTTTTTTTTTTTTTGTACAGTCTTTGCCTCATTTTTGTTTCAGGGTAATACTAGTTTCATAAAATGTAGTGTTCCTTTCTATTCTATTTTCTGAAAGAGATTATTTAAAATTAGTGTTAATTCTTCTTTAAATGCTTGGTAAACTTCTCCAGTGAAACTATCTGAACCTGGGGATTTCTCTTTGGGGAGTTTTAAAATTGTGAATTAGTATAAATTAAACTTTTTCACAACTATTTCACATTGAATGAACTATAACAATTTGTGTTTTTTGAGTTGATCTGTTTTGTCTAAGTCATCAAATTTATGTGTGTAGAGTTGTTTGTAATATTCTACTATTTGTCTATAAGGGCTGTGGTGATATACTATTTCAAACCTAATATTGGTAATTTTCCTCTCTCTGTTTCTTTGTAGAGATTTCTCAATTTTATTGATCTTTAGAAACCAGCCTTTTGTTTCATTGATATCTTCTATTCTTCTGTTTTCATATTCGTGGATTTCTATTGTTTGTTATATATTTCCTTCTGCTTGTTTTTTGTTTTTGTTTGGTAGTTCTGGGGGTTGAACCCAGGGCCTTGTTCATGCTGGGCAAGTGCTCTACACTGAGCTGCATTGGTTTTTCTTTAGACTCTTGAGATTTGATTATTAATTAGAGACATTTCCTAATGTATGTATTTAGTGCTATAAATTTCCCTCCCATCAATTCTTTAGCTTTGTGCCAGGAAATTTCAGTATGTTTTACTTTTATTTTCATTCAGTTCAATGTATTTTTTAAGAATTTCCTTTGAGACGTCCTCATTGACCCATGTTGTTTAGATTTTAAGTGTTTGAAAATTTTCTTGTTATTCTCTTGTTGTTGAATTCCAGTTTGATCCCATTATAGTTAAAGGATATACTCCATATGATTTAAGTTCTTTTATATTTGTTGAGATTTGTTTTATAGCCCAAGATAAGGTTTCTGTTGGTATATGTTCCGTGAACATTTGGAAAAAGAAATGTATACTCTGCTGTTGTGGGTAGAGTATTGTATAAATGTTGTATATCATGTCCTGTTAGTTAATACCATTTTGTTTGTTTTTTGGTACCAGGGATTCAACCTAGGGGTGCTTAACCATTGAGCCACATTCCCATCCCTTTTAATTTTTTATTTTGAGACAGGGTCTCACTAAGGTGCTGAGAGCCTCACTAAATTACTGAAGCTAGCTTTGAACTTGCAATCCTTCTGCCTCAGCATCCCAAGCTGCTGGGATTACAAGCATGTGCCACCACACCAATAGTTGATAGTGTTATTAAGTCCTATGCCCTTACTGATTTTCTGTTACTTATTCTAGCAATCATTGAAAGACCTCAGAACTGTTTCAGTCTTCAAATCTGAAAAGATATTGTGCCTTCTCTCTACCTTTCAGAGTCTTCTTGCATCTGTTTTCTAATATCCAGGATTTTTAGTTGTACTTGGAAGAAAGGAAAACATATTTATTCCATTTTCCAGGAAGTAGAAATGGGACTCAACATTTTATATTTATATTTTTAAAAAATTCCCCTAGTAACTGTGGACTTGCATTTAGGCACCATTACTTTAGAACTGTAACAATGATTATGACTTATTCGATTTATTTGGCATTTTATGATTTATAGAACTTTCAAATAGAATATAATCTCATCATTTCTGAAAGAAATACTACAAAATAAGAACAATTGTCTGCATTTTACTGCTAAAATAAAAAGGTCAAGACAAGTGGCTTGTCCATAATCATATATCAGATAAGACACAGAGCTGGGACTTATAACTTTTCACTTCAAGACCTTGGCCTTGCCCATTAAGTCTCAAGTACTTTTTGTGTCATAAGGTATCATTGTCATATTTTCTTACCTGGGTTCAGTTACAGAGCAGTTTTATTCAGTGGTCTGATGTCTGAATTATAACACTAATGTGAAAAGAGCTGCTAATAATCACTAGCAAGAATCACCTGCCAACCACTTTGGGGCCAGCTAGTTAACTCCAACACAACAATTTGATCTGCCAAAATAGTGATTCCCAGATTTCAATGAACATTAAAATAATCATCTAGAGAGCTTTAAGAAAATCTCAATACCCACCCCCCAAAAAAGAAAAGAAAAGAAATGGTTGGAAACATTAAATCTGTCTAAACAAAGATTAAAAAACAAAAAAAATCTCAGTATCGAAGTTGCATTCCACAGTAATTAAATCAGAATGTTTGTGGTGATAACCAGGCATTGGTGTTTTTGTTTTGTTTTTTGTTTTAAGAGAACCTCAGATGATTTCGGTATGCATCAAAAATTGGAAACCAGTTTATGGTGTATTAAAGGAAGTATGTAGCCGGTGGCACACACCTATAATCCCAGCTATTTGGGAGGCTGAGGCAGGAGGAATGCAAGTTCGAGACTAGCCTGTGCAACTTAGTGAGACCCTGTCTCAAAATAATTTTTTTTTTTTTTTAAAGGAGGTATGTGGCTAACACTGCAGCTGCAAGAGTTTAGAGAGACTTTTTCCTTCCTGTTAACAACTACGACTTTTTTTTTTTTAATTTTTAATTTTTAGGTGCACACATCTTAATCTTATTTTTATGTGGTGCTGAAGATCGAACCCAGTGCCTCACACATGCCAGGCGAGCGCGCCACCACTTGAGCCACATCCCAAGCCCCAACAACTACAACTCTTAATTGTGCCCCTTTGAGTCTCAATTATAGGATCACCTAAGACCAAAAATAGAATAGTTCCTCTTCCCCTTTCTTAAAAACGGTTGCTTTCACAATTTTTGTGAGTTCACTGCATTCTCTCCTATTCTGTGAATCATAAGTGATTAGCAGTTTTCTTGGTAAAAGACTAGATAGTAAATATTTTAGGCATTGATCATTATTAGAGTCTTTTTTTTCTTTTTTGGAGGGGGGAGGGGAGCATAGTGGACATTGAACTAAGAGACATTCGACCACTAAGACACATCCCCAGCCATATTTTATATTTTATTTAGAGACAGGGTCTCACTGAGTTGCTTAGCACCTCGCTGTTGCTGAGGCTGGCTTTGAACTCACAATCCTTCTGTCTCAGCCTCCCTAGCTGCTGGGATTACAGGCGTGCACCACCACACCTGGTTTGTTGGAGTCTTTATGCAACTATTCAACTCTACTTTTGTACATCAAAAGACAAAATAAATATTTGTGTATGGTCATGTTCTAATAACACCTTATCTTACAAAAACAGGTTGTGTGCTAGAAGTATAACTCAGAGTAGAGCTCTTGCCTAGTATGCATAAAACCCTGGTTTGATCCCCAACACCATACACACAAAAAAAGCAGGTTGTGGATATGATCCAAGAGTTGAGTTTGTGGACACTGCCATAAGCATTTCAGATATTTCACTTGTGGATAATTGAAATCTAAAATTATTTGCCGTCTTCTGGTACCACAGGCCCAGTCTCACTATGTCCCTGAGTTACCTTAGAGGTTCTAGAGTGACCCTTCTTGAGCACAGGGTCTGGTGCATAACTTCTGGGCTTCATTATCTATGACGCTTCTCCTACATTGTTGGGAAACCAGTGTTAGAAGAGATCCACTGAGGATGGGCAAAACCTCATTCATCTGAATCCCTGAATCCGTGCACACTCAAAATTCTTCCTTTTTATTTTTTGGTGCTAGAGATGAAACCGAGTGCCTTACCCATACTGGGCAAGTACCCTCCCAGTGAGCTACATCTCAGCCCTATTCTTCTGTTCTGAAGCTACTGGTCTGATAAATACCCAACTCCTGTGTCCAGCTTATTTGCCATTAGTAATGGCTATAAAGCTATACTCTCCAGTATGGTACCATTTAGCCATGTATGGCTACTGAAATTTATATTTAAATTATTATAGTTAAATAAAATCTAAAATTGAATTATTCAGTTGACTAATCACATTGTAAATAGTTGATAGCCATATGTGGTTGGTGGCTCCTGTATTAGGCAGTGCAAATGTACGGTATTTCCACATTTGCAGGCACTTCTACCAGACACTGTTGCTCTGCATTTTGTTAAGTCATAAGTCTTGGAGAGCTCTAACTTTGGAACTTAAAATTACTAATTTTTAACCTCTTTATTCCTCTTTATTCCTTTAACCAAGACTGATATTTCTATTAAAGTAAAAAGGTAATATTTTGTTTTAAAGGAAGTGAGATTCATGGTATCAAGAAAGTGACTAAGAAGTACTGGTCATATACATTGGAAACTTTATTATGGGATGTTATAAAATTGCTTCATAAAATGGTGGGGACAGTGGAAACTCCATTTATTGAGTAACTTGTATGTGTTAGGCACTAAGTGCTTTGTAGTTGAAGCTCAGAAAAGTTAAATACTAAGTAAGTGGCTGGCCCTGGTATTTGAATCCAAACCTTTTTGATGACTTAAGACCTTTGCTTTCCTAGTATACTGTGCTGCTTCAAGTTTACCAAAGACTATGGTAGGTATTTTAACCTATTTTATCTCAGGAAGCTATAATTCCCTAAAGATATTATGTTAATTTTTGTTTGCTTGTTTGTTTTGCAATGCTGGGTATAGAACTCAGAGGTTATGCTGACTTAAATGAGAAAAGTACCAATCTTCCTTCAAATAAGAAATCTGGCTTAGCTTTTTTTTTCCTTAGGAGACATGTGGGAGAATAAAAATATCAGTGATCCTAGTATAATTCTGTGGATACATCTTACCAGAATTTCTATGGAATACTGAGATCTCATTTATATAATTTTGTATTATAAATTGCCAATTTGATGACTGATCAGATTACAGGTTTGTTTGAAGGTTAGTTTTACAAGACAATGCTACAGATTCTGATATCATTTGAGAATTTATAAGACTACTTATATCAAATTGTCCTTCCAGGAATCAGTTTAAAAGGGATTAGGACAAATTGGTAAAATTTAGAAATATTCTCACAGTCTTCATTTTGCACAAGAATATAAAATTGTTTTTTGAATATTTTCAGTTTAACAATTTGTCAAAATTCTTTAAACTAGATTTTGACATAGGAAAAGATTGCACTCTTTGTAGCTGCAGAGCAGAGGGGATATGACTACCATTTGTTTCTGAGACTCCATTTGTTAATTATGATGATTTGATTTTTAGACCAGCATCTAGAATTTCATCTATTGGCATTAAAACACAAAGCTGATATGCAGAAAACAGGAAAAAAGATAAATAGGATTTCATTTAGTAACAGTACGACAATGTTAGAATTTATCTAGCATGGACAAGCTCTATAATAGACTTCTAATTATTTTTTTTTTTTTATTTGATGATATGGTGCTTATTTTTGTGTGCAGAAGGCAGGTGCTGAGCCCGTACTGTGACACGCTCAGAAGTAATCCATTACAATTAACTTGCAGACAGGACCAGAGAGCAGTTGCAGTGTGTAATTTGCAGAAGTTTCCTAAACCTTTGCCACCAGAATATCAGGTAACACATGTTTTCAGCACAATTTTAGGAATCATATTTTTAAGAAGTCATCTCCATTTTGACTTCAGAGAGTAAATTCCCCAAAGCCAAGTGCTATGGCACACGCCTATAATCCCAGGGACTCTGGAGGTAGCTTCAGCAATTTTGTGAGATCCTCAACAATTTATCAAGACCCTATCTCAAAATAAAAAGGGCTGGGGATGTAGCTCAGTGGTAAAGCACCCCTGGGTTAAATCCACAGTACCAAAAAACTTAAAAATAAAATAAAATTTCCTAAATTTTTTGATGTGTAAGGCCTCTGTGCTTTCCATGTTAGGAAAAAAAAAAAAAAAACTGAAGAATTCCTCCATTTCATTAGTGTACTCATCAATAGCAATTATTTAATATCTGGCAGTGCCTTATAATAATAGTAGAATGTATTGTTTTGATCTGTTTCTAAACTGTTTTCTTTCTAGTTACTTCCAAAATCTTTCTCTTTAAAATTCCTCCGAAAGTCACTTTGGTGTCTGACATAGTAGCTCCCACCTGTAATACCAGCTACGTGGGAAGCTAAGGCAGGAGGATCAGAAGTTTAAGGCCATTCTGGATAACACGGCAAGATCCTGTCACACAATAAAATTTAAAAAGGGCTGTGGCTGTAAATCAGTGGTAGAGCATTTGCCTAGCATGTGCAAGGCCCTGGGTTCAATCACCAGTAGCGTTTATAAAAAGGTAACTTAGGTCTGAATCTCTGAACACCTTTAAATCTCTTGTTGCCATGGCTCTCTCTAAACTTCTTTGCTCTACCTGCCATTTTCAGAGTAATCTTAAGTCAGAAATGATGTCTCAGAAGCTAATTTAAAATGATAGCTGCTAATTTTGAGCTTCCTACATATATTTATGACCACACTGAGTGCTTCAGACACCATAAGATGGCAACTGTATTTTTTTTTGGTACCAGGATGTGAACTCAGGGACACTCAACCACTCACTGAGTGCCACCCCCACATCCACATCCCCAGCCCTATTTGTATTTTATGTAGAGACAGGGTCTCATTAAGTTGCTTAGCACCTCGCCTTTGCTGAGGCTGGCTTTGCACTTGGGATCCTCCTACCTCAGCCTCCCAAGCCACTGGGATTATAGGTGTGTGGTACTGCACCTGGCATGGTAACTGTATTCCTAAGCATAGCTTTATAACTCATAAGTTGTTGTAAAATGTAAAATGTGAAATATTTAGGCTTATCTGATACCTTGTTCTTTGGTATTCAGAGTTTTTTTATATATTTAATTTATTTTCTCAATTATTATTTTTTCAAAACAGCACATCAATTAAGCCTCCTAAAAACACCTGTACATTTTATTTGTTTGTCTTTGCAACAGGGTCACACTATGTTGCCCAGGTTAGTCTTGAACTCTTGGGCTCAAGCAATCCTCCTGACTCAGCCTCCCCAATAGATAGGACTATAGGTGTGTACATCACCTGACACTTTATATTTAGAGTGTCTTAATTCTATGCATTTGTTTTATGTTTTGTCAATTCTTAAAGCTCTTCCTTTTGCTGTTAAATTCTCTTTTTTAAAACATTAATCAAGTTTGTCCTCCTAAGAAATGTTGAATTAATTTATTTATCTTGCTTATTTTTAAACAATAGCAACTTCAAAATACCCTTCCTATGGCATATTATATCTTCTTTGTGTTATGCAGTTTATGAAGAAAACTACACTAATATCTTGTGTTATACAGCATTAGAGAGTTGTTATAAGTAGCCTATGGACTTTATTTTGATTATGCAGAATGACTCTTAATTTCTTGTCTTTCTGATAATATTTTTTAATTTTTGCAGTACTTTGATGAACTCAGTGGAATACCTACAGAAGATTTGCCTTATTATGGTGGGTCAGTAGAAATTGCTGACTATTGCCCTTTCAGTCAGGAATTCAGTTGGCATTTAAGTGGTGAATATCAACGCAGCTCAGATTGTAGAATATTAGAAAATCAACCAGGTTAGTAGTCTAGTTAAATCAAGTATTAAATACACAATAAGATCATGTATCAGCAATATAAAATAGTGGTGAAGGGCACAATCCTGGAACCAGCCTGTCTGAGTTTGTGTTTTAGTTTCACTGCTATTCATCAGTGAGAAGTCATTTAACTTTCCTGTGCCTGTTTCTTCATCTGTATAATGGGAATAATAATATCTATCTCATAGAATTGTTTTGAGAATTATATAAATAAAATAATAATTACATAGAACTATGCTGGCTCATAAAGAGGATTGTTATCTCTTAGATACATGAATTCATGTGCACACACTGCATTTTAGCAATACCTTACATCTGCGTAGCAATTTTCACTTGTAAAGCACTTTTCATTATGTATCATTTCCTTTTATTTTTTCTAAAAACCTAATGAGAGACATAAGAGAGATATTATTGTATTTCATTGGTGAATGAACAGACATCAAGTAATACAGTTAATTGATATCAGTGTAAGACCCTCTGGTATTGGGTTGTTTTTTTCCCCCCCATCTTGTTTTTGTATCAGGTTGTTTTTATTAAAATGCCTTAGGTAACCTATTTTTTTTCTTTCATAGGAAGTGTGCATTTTATGCAGTTTAGAAGTAACACGACATGTCATTCTGTAGATCTCAAAATAATACTGTTGCCCCATGTCCTGTAAGATATATTACTAAAGTCATGCCAGTAATCCCAATAACTTGGGAGGCTGAAAAGACATCAAAGGAATAAACTATATGGTGATTTAGTATTTTTTAATACCTTTATTTTATTTATTTTAATATTGTGCTGAGGATTGAACCCAGGGCCTCACGTGTACTAGGCGAGCACTCTACTGCTGATCCACAACCCCAGCTCCTCGTATTTTGAAATAATAGTTATAGCTCATACAATATTCTCACATCTGATATGTTAATAAAAAGCAATAGTTTTTCTCTCTGTTTTTAAAGTTTTCAACGTTGTCTTCCCCCACTCCCAACACTATTCACTCCTTTATTATAGATTTGGTCATTTAAACTTCAAATTTCTACGATGTTTTTACAAATTATTCTGAAACCTGACAGGTTTAACTATATTTCTACAGTCTTGTTTTCCCATCACTCATCTATTTAATTCATGTCCTGAAGACTTAATATAACTACTCAGAAGTCCCATGTTAAAGCAAAAGAAATACACAGATCTGTCAATTGTGGGTTTTCCAGAGATAACCATTTTATTGTTTTAGAGCTGGAGTTGGCAAACTTTTCTTTGTGAAGGGCAAAATATAAATATTTCAGGCTTTGCCATTCATCTGGTCTCTGTAGCAGGTGCTGTGCTTCTACAGTGTCAAATTAATATGTAAACAACATTATATGTAAGCAATATTATACATAATATAAACATATATTTTATAAACAATATTAAGTGTGTGAGGGTTTCAGGATTTGGGCTGAGGGTTATGGTTTGCTTAACCCTGTTTTGCTTACTGATCACGAGCTTTTTTGTTTGTTTTTTTCAATGGTACTGGTAATTCCAGGGGTGTTCTACTACTAAGCTACACCACCAACCCTTTTGATTTATTTATATATTTTAGCGTTATTTTTGATTTTTATAAAAGGTCTCTCCAGGGGCCAGGTTGTGGCCCAGTGGTAGATGCTTACCTAGCATGTGTGACACTGGGTTCTAGCCTCAGCACCACATAAAAATTAATAAATAAAATAAAGATATTGTGTTCACCTATAACTAAAAAGATTTTTTTAAAAAGGTCTCTCCAAGTTGCCAAGTCTGGCCTCAAACTTGCAATCCTCCTACCTCAGTCTCCTGAGTATATGGGATTAGGGACATGGAACACCACTATGCCCTTTGAAGACTTTGAAACTCATAAATAAAAGAAATCTAGAGTTCTGTTTTGTATTTTATTTCTTAGCTCATATAATTAATATTTTTAAAAAACTGACATAAAAAACTTATTTCAAAATGGACTAGTTGAACTCTCTACTTTAAAAAAATGAAGCTTGTATAAAGAGAGTACACTATTACTAGGGTTTGCCCATTAGGTTCATTCGGTACTGTACCTCTGCAGGTGTATGTTTAGAATGAGACTAGATAGATCAGCATGTTATTTATGACTTTACAGAGGTGGCACAAATTGAAGTTTTTTTTAAAAAAGCTGCAAAACCCAAAAAACCCTTCATTATATAAATCATTTGGCCTCATCCTGTCATGAGTCACTTGGATATAACTCCTTACTTAGGCCAGTGATTCTTATTTTTTTTTGTTTTGTTTTATTGGCACACATTAATTATACAGAATGATGGGTTTTGTTTGTGGCATACTTGTACATGCATACAATATACTTTGATAATTTTCAATCCCCCATTATACCCTTTGCCTGTCTCCTTTTTATATGTATGTATATATATTTTTATACACACACACACACACACACACACACACGTATGTATGTATATATTTAGTTGTAGATGGACATGATGCCTTTATTTTATTTATTTATTTTTATGTGGTAACCCAGTGCCTCACACATGATAGGCAAGTGCTCTACCACTGAGCCACAACCCCATCCCACTTATTTTTCTCTAATAGTCTCCCATTTACATTCTGTAGTTCTTATTTTGGTATCTAATCATTTAATGATTCTTAGTGTCAAGTCCTTAGTATATTTAACCTAGATACTTTCAGCCTACTTTTATTCTCTTATTTCTGATATATAGTAATTCTACCATGCTAGTTCCTTTATGACAATTCATTTTTAATTTAAAATCCTGTTTATTTTAAATTTTTATTTAAAATGTCCATTTAAAAAGTTTGATTTGGGGCTGGGGTTGTGGCAGCGGTAGAGCGCTCGCCTCGCACGTGCAAGACCCTGGGTTCAATCCTTAGCACCCCATAAAAAATAAATAAATAAGTGAAATAAAGGTGTTGTGTCCAACTACAACTAAAAAATAAATATTTTTAAAAAATAAAATAAATTAAAAAATAAAAAGTTTGATTTTCTTAAAGCAGCTTTTAATTATAAAATAGAATGCTTCAATTTCTTATTCTTTGTATTAAAAAATCTAATTTGAGACTCCTGGTTTGCTTCAGAAATTTTTAAAAACTATGGTGCCGAAAAGTATGGACCCCATTCAGTTTGTCTAATCCAGAAGTCGGCATTTGTTATGGAAAAGTGTGAGAGGAAGCTGAGTTACCCAGACTGGGGAAGTGGATGTTATCAGGTAAAGTACATGTTTTTAATAATTATGCTAAATATTATATAATTTTATCTTGTGGTCTTTTATATTTGAAATTATATTTTATGCATTTTAGATACATAATTTACTGATGGATAATTTAGCTTATTTTGATTATTTATGTAATTATTAGTTTGGTGCTTGTGTTTTGTGAAAATATTTTTATTTCTTTGAGGAAAAATTTGCCTTTCTACATTTGTTTAACAGTAGATATAATTGCAGCCAGGTGCAATGGTTCATGCCTATAATCCCAAAGATTGAGGAGGCTGAGGCAGGAGGATCACAAGTTCAAGGCCAGCCTTGACAATTTAGCAAGACCCTGTCTCAAAATAAAAAATTGAAAGGGGATGTGGCTTAGTGCAGAGTGCCCCCTGGGCTCAATCCCTACTACAACCCCCTATCAAAAAAAAAAAAATACATATGTATATGTAAAATATCTATATATTAATAAGTTTCATAATATTTTTACTTCTGAGCATAATGAGGAAGTAATGATAAAGATTAAGTTTTGTTCTTGAACAAATATTTTATATTGGAAGAAATGTAAAATTTTATTTCAAGAGGTCTAAAGAAAGAATGAGTTATAAGAATTAAAAAACTAATTGTTGATTAATAATAGTTTTTTATATAGTTCATGCTTTTTATATAGCTCAGTGGTGGAGCACTTACCTAATATGAGATAGGTTTTGAGTTTAATCCTCAGCCTTCCAAAGAAAACAAAAAACTAAGATTAGAAAGCCAAATGGCAGTGCATTCTACTGTCATGTATAACTAATTAGTAAAAAATAAATAAAAATTTAAAAAAAGAAAAAAAATTTAAAGTAATCTAAATGGCCAAACTACTACTTTCCCAATTATTTATATATCTGATATTGATTGTCACCTTTTTAAGAACTGATCAAGATACAGGAATTCTGTAACTTAGGGGTATCCAACTTAATTTTCCATATCAGGAAGGATAATGTGATCCTGAGAACTGAAGAATAAGCATTGTGCCATTTCCACTACAAGAGTTAGATGGTCCTTTGTAATTAGGAATTTTGCAATTATTTTTAAAGTTGACTATGACATTTAATTTTTTTGGTAACACCTTTAGTAATATATATTTTATTTAATTTCATTTAATTCATATAGCATTAAAGTCTTACAAAGAAAATTAGAAATAAATATTTTCTAGCTGTAATCTGACAACTGGAATCCAGGAATCACGTTCTAATAAATCCCATTAAAGATGTATGTATTGAGGGCTGGGGCTGGGGCTCAGCGGTAGAGCACTTGTCTGGCATGTATGAGGCACTGGGTTTGCTTCTCAGCACAGCATGTAGATAAATTAAATAAATAAAGGTCTATCAACAACTTAAAAAAAATTTTAAAAAGATGTATGTATTGAACACTTTGTTGAACACATTGTTGGTGGGACTGCAGACTAGTAAACCACTTTGGAAAACAGTTTGGAGAGTCCTCAAAAAAAAAAAAAAAAAAACAAACAGGGATGGAATCACCATGTGACTCAGCTATCCCATTCCTGGGTATTTTCCCGAAAGATCTAAAGTTGGCATAATACAACAACAAAGCCACATCAATGTTTACAGCAGCACAATTCAAAATAGCTAAATTGTGGAATCAACCCAATCAATAGATGAATGGATTAAGACAAGGTGGTACATATATAAATATAACGGAGTTCTTCTCAGTCATTTAAAAGAATGAAATTGTGGCATTTGCAAGTATATGGATGGATATGGAGAATATTATGTAAAATTAGTCAAACTCAGAAACTCCAAGGTTGGATGTTTACTCTCATATGCAGAAGCTAGAGTGAAATGAAGGAAAGGGGGAGGGAAGGATAAGATTATGTAAAGAACCAATCAAATACAATTTAATAGAGAGCTAAATAAAGTCTATTAGAATAGAAGGATAAGTGGGGGAAGATGGGAGGGAAAAGAGGGAACCATGAACTGAAGTAGATTTTCATGCATGTATGAGTTTATTAGGAATGAACCCAACAACTGTGTATAACTATAAAGCTCTAATTAAAAATAGTATGTAGTTCTTACCTAGTTAAAATTATGGTATGTAATTTTGTCTTACTGGCTTCACTTAATACTGTGGGGGGCCCAGTGAATACTAGGATTAAACCCAGGGCCTCATGCGTGCTAAACAAGTGCTCTAGTACTTTTAATAGGGGATACCTCTTCCAAGTTTTTCCATTAATAATGTTTATTGTTGGGCTGGGGATATGGCTCAAGCGGTAGCGTGCTCGCCTGGCATGCGTGCAGCCCAGGTTCGATCCTCAGCACCACATACAAACAAAGATGTGTGTCCGCTGAAAACTA